TATGTAAATATTAAGGAACTGCCAGAAGTGGAGATGGAAATTAGCATGGAAGAATGATTATAATAATCATCAGGTGAGAAGTACGTCAGAAATCAGAATTAGCATTTAATGGCGTATTGGGCTTTTTCTACCTTGAACGAGACAGAGGAAAGTTCTCTCCTCTTCCAGGTTCAGTTCTAGTGAGATTTCAGTTAGTTCAGATCTTAATGATGTGATATGCCTGTCATAAATGGCATTGACTGATGATCTTTCAAATTCTTTAAACGAAATTTCGAATTATATCACTTATTTTGACACATATTTTGTTGATATCGTTAATTTGACACTGAATTCAAAAATAGTTCAATGGCAGAAAATAGGTGTTAGACAAGGAAAGATTTATCGGACCTCTCTATATTTCAATGCGGCCACGTTGGTAGCATTTTGAAGAGAGATGAAATAGGAGAACTTTCCTCTCTCTCTCTCGTTCAAGGTAGAAAAGAGCACTGCGATCAGTTATTTCCAAAGTGATTAACATTGAGCTTAGGTATGGGTACGTTGTTTTATATAAAGGGTGGCTAACTAAGAATGCGAGGTACTGAATCTGGAAAAGTATCCATCGTAGAGGCTCCCGGTAAAAAGTTAGTACTAAAACGGCCAACAGAAAAACCTGGAAAATATTTTCAAGTTTCTGAAATGGCCGCTTGGGAGCGTAACTGCAATCTTGAATTTAACGAACTGATGTTTCTGTGAATTTAGCTACATTAACCTAACAAAAAAATACCTGATCTTCAAAGTCGAGGATTCTCTGAACTATTTTTTTCACAGTTTTTGCTGTATCTCTCTGTTATACCACTAAGCAAACCGATTTTCCAAAAGTTTCGACACGTGTTTTGCTAAATATGTTAGCATCTTCAGGAGAAGATTAAAACTAAGTACCTAATTCAACTGCTAGATCTCATAACTAAGAGATCTAGGATGAACAGAGTTGCCCCAATTGTCAGCAGGAGCGAGACAGTACTGTTTCGACCCACCAGGTCCCATCAGCCGCTCTCGGTCTGCTGAGAACTGGGACAACTCTACGCTTCGAGTATATCACCCATTTCGAAGACGCAGGGTATAACATGAAGTTATAGTCGTGTGACTATAGATGACAGCGCCATAAAGTGTGTGTCGCGATTTCTGTATCCTACCTTAGAGCTTTATTGCCACTAGATGGCTACAACATGACTATAACTTCATGTTATACCCTAAGTACCTAATGTATAAGTGTGCTGCTAGAAAAATTCACTAGCTTGTCAGTGACAATTGTCACTGAGAACTGAGAAGTGTCAAGACGAATACGAATTTGCATACAAAAATCCATTTTTTATGTTGAAAACGAGAGCAGATTCGTTCCCGAAACGTTCAAAGATAAGTAAAAATTTGATATTTTTTCTATATACCTTTATTTCTCTTCCCAAAACCTCTTTCAATACAAATTGTCACTGACAAGCTAGTGAATTTTTCTTGTAGGCTCTTTGATATGAAAATTCTTCAAACGCAGTGACATTTTGGGGCAAATCATCTGATTTGTCCTTGCTACACGTATATTGAAATAATATCCATTTATCCATTAAACCAGGAGAGAAAATCCCAAAAAATCTGGAATTATGAATTTTGTTTTCGGTTCCGAAAGTTTCACAAAAAAATAGCTAACGTTCGCGAAAACAACAAATCTTTCATTTTGAAGAATAATAGCCCTGTACATAATATTTTGGCAGTAGACTGATTGACAGAAATAAAAAGATGAAACTTTGAATAATTCTAAGAGATTTTAGTCCTCATAATATAAACGAAAAAATATCAAGATGGAATCCAGAATAAAGTCAAAATTGTTCCGTCGACTGTGAGTCGAACATGTTTATATAATATAATAACAACATGAATAATTGGATCTTTCCAGAGATAAGGAAATTATGCAGTTTGAACCCCATCAGGATATTCGATTACATCCAAAAGTGCACTATGGTGTGAATCCATATCTCATTGAAATGAGACATGAATTATTCAGCATCGGGAGGATGGACCTCCAGGTAAAATTATTGAATGTCTTCTTCACATACCCAAAGACACATTACTGTTTATATCAGGGATACCGCCACGGTATATCCAGTAAACGCGATCTTTACAGGGTCTTCATTGACCTAACTAATTCATTAGATGTTAATTATAGAGAACATAAAGATACATCAATCTTCGTTTTTTTAGATGGAACACCCTGTATATTATTGCCTTCTTAGACTCACTCTGAAGAGCTGATTTCTTCAATATATCACACACTTTGGGTCTAACGGGAAAGATTACAGAGGATTTTTTTGTATCGAATCTATTCATTATCGGTCAAAACGGCTTACATGTCCCTATGTTGACTTTTGATTCTCTATCTACTGATATTTAATTGTAACAGTTAAAGGGTGATCAGAATTCTGAATCTTGAACCACCCTCTATTTGTTTATACTAAGTGTCAGTAGATAGTAATTCAAAAGTTGAGATGTAAGCGTTTTGACCAATAATGAATAGTTTCGACGAAAAAATCCATAAGTTTAGTGCAAAGGTCGCGCAATACGAAAATGATCTACATTGAATTCTGATGGAAGAAGTTATCTACAACTTTCTTGTTAAATGAATGATTACGATGATTTGGAGGAAAAAAATTACATAATTTCCCAGTTTGCCAAAACGGCTATAAAAAATGATTCCAAGTATTCAAATGAGAATAAATTACTCCATTGTTATGTCATAAGTATATATTATTTCATATTGACTTTGAATCTTGTTTTATCATCAATATGTTTCAATTCACAAGGTAATGAATTATTTAAAATGGTTCCGTTGTAGAATACTGATTGTTTGCCAATAATGGAGTTATATGGATTTGCTACTAATGAATTCAACTGCCTCGTTTCATGAGTATGAATTTTATTTACTTCAGTAAAGTTCAAGTTATTGGATATTTCAGGTTTTTTCACACAAAATGAATAAAAGAACAGATTTTTTGATTTGTAAAGATTAATATTTGGTTCCAGTTAATGTAAATTGTAGATGCACTTGATCGTTTTATTTTGTAAGTTCATTAATTCTTTCAAATGTGATATAATTGTGCTTCCCCAAATTGATATTAAATATTGTAATTTTGAGTAAATCAGACAGAAATATATATTCTTCAAACATCTAAGAGGAATGAAATTTCGAAATTTGTATAAAATTCTAGTAATTGGATTTAGCTTTTTTCTCAGGTGATCTATCTATATGATTAGCCCACGATAATTGTTCATCAATATTCAGGGTGTTTCTTAAGTACGTGTCGAAAATTCAGGAGCATGTTGCTGACGTCAAAATAAAAAGAAAAGTTCGTATAAACATATGTCCGAAAGTAATCCGTTTCTGAGATACAGAGTGTCAAAGTTGAATTCTTATTTTTGTTTTTTGTCAATAAATTTCAAAATAATTGTGATATTGGAATAACATTTGATATCTAGGGGTATTTTTCAATGACAATATCAAATACTATGTTACTTTGTCTCCTTCGTGGGGGTGGCGTCACCTACATGTCTTTTTGAAGTCATAACTTTTTTGTGCGTACCTGTATAACGTTTTATAGTAGAAAAATAGATTTCAAGAACACTTTCGTGTAACAAATATATTCTTGGTAGAGGTCGCTGCGAGCAACTGTTTTCGAGTTATTGGGATTTGAAATAATCAATGCAAGTAATTTGGAATGACAAGAAGTTGGAATTCCAAATTGATTTATAAAGTAAGAGATTTTTGTTCTTAAATTTCATTGAAAAATAGGAATTGGGTGTTATTACAGTTTGATACTAATAATGATAACAGTAATAACCAGATTGATACTAAAACAGTTGAAAAAGCTTGGATCACAAGTACAGAAGACAACAAACTTCACTGTCACAAGAACTGATTGAAATAACATGAGAAGTACTCACTTGATTGTTATTTTTTGAATTGAAAGAGCCCAAAGAAATAGGTACGAAGAAGTAAGAATCATATTTTGCCTACATTTCAATGTTGAATGTAGGAGAATATCGAATGAAAGAAGAAAAATGCACTGGCGTATTTTTCTGATATTCACTAGAGGCGCCTTACGAGCCACATGGAAATAATTCAAATGCATTGATTATTTCGAATCCCAATAACTCGAAAACAGTTGCTCGCAGCGACCTCTACCAAGAATATATTTTTTACACAAAAGTGTTCTTGAAATCTATTTTTCTACTATGAAACGTTATACAGGTACGCACAAAAAAGTTATGACTATTCAAAAGACTCAAAAGACATGTAGGTGGCGCCACCCCTACAAAAGAGACAAACTAACATAAAATTCGATATTGTCATTGAAGAATACTCCTAGATACCAAATTCAATCCCAATATCACAATTATTTTAAAATTTATTAACAAAAAACAAGAATGAGAATTCAACTTTGACACTCTGCATCTCAGAAACGAATAACTCTCGGACCTATATTTATACGAACTTTTCTTCTTATTTTGACGTCAGCAACATGCTCCTGAATTTTCTACACGTACAGAAACGCCCTGTTGAAGACCCAAGAATTTTGTAACATCTGAATATTTTATGGCTTTCGAAAAATATTGTTGTTTTCGATATATCAGTTTTTCTTTTTGAAATATACATATACGTAGATTTGACATTGTTCTTACCTCATATTAATGATCCGTTGGGGTTAACCATACTTGCCCTATCCACCGCTTTGCTGCATACATTTCTTGCCACTGATACTCGAAATAAAACTAGTGTAAGCTCCTCTTGACATACCCTGTATAAGTGAATACTACTACTTTGTGATGGTCACATTCGAATACAGTGATGCATTTTTTAGAAAAGAAGAAAACAACTGTGGACACTTCTGAGATCTGACTTTTTGCAAGAAGAGGAGGAATTGAGGCAAGTCGGTTTGGCATATATAAATACTCAACCTTGAAAACAAAATGAATGTAAATTTCATATTTTATTTCAACTGCATCTAAATATATACTTTCAACAGGAAAATTATAAAGCACCATTCATAATTGGTTTTCCTCACATAAAAACAATAAAAAAACGTCAACAAACAGCGTAAAAAATCAGTGAAACATTCAAATGAAAAACATAAATCATAGTATCTCAGCTTTTCTTAAGTAATAACAAAAACATATTAAGCTTTTCTTTAAAAAAATACTTCCTATAAAAATATTAGGTAATCTGTTATTTAAAATAAAAACGAAGGTAATTTTTTGTGAACTGACAGTTTGGTTCCCTCATATCCACAGAAGATATTCAGATTACCAACCATGTTCATATAAAATGACTTCCAGGATGGACTTGAAGTTTCAACATAATCACAAAGGTGATGAAAATAAAATTCAATATAAAATTCAGCATTAAAAACAAAAGAGGCCAAAACTATGGGTCATCAATAATAAATTTCAAAAATATCCTATCAATATAGATAACCTGGTGAAACATACAACACATTAAATCTATATTAACACATATACAAGGTATTATGGTTGACTGATAAAATGATAATCCTCTAGTTCTAATATTCCTAACCAGTACTAGCAACTTTATTGACTCCAAAGTTACTGACAGAGTGGTTATAGGTTATAATTCATTATGAGACAAAATTATCTGAGACAGAAATTTTTTTCACATGTTCACTGCAAAAACATTAATCAACTATTATCAACTGTTAGTTCTCCCTGAACTGTTCACTCTTACCAGTAGTACTGCTAGCAATATTGGAACCCAAGAAATTATTTTTATGGAGCCTAAGCTAATGATTGAAATATATAATACTAATAATCCTGCATCTCAGTTTCATAAACCCTAAAGGACTGCTACCTGGTAAGCGATTTGAAAAAAAATTACAAATCAGTATAATAGTGATTTTGAATTGATGTCTTTTCACGTAAATAAGGCACTAAAATAACTCTCATTGTTATGAATATTCTTGTTATACATTATAATCGAGAATGAAAAGCGGGCTTGAATATTTAATCTTATATGGAGATTATTTTCATTGAATGCAAAAAAGGAATATTCTTGATTACATTAAAACTTAAAATATCTGACATATTTGGTATTTACTTTTCAACCACTGACTAATTTGAAATTTCTTAAGAAATTAAGAACCCCACTACATATTGAAAACAAATCAAAGTTTGCTTCAGATTGATGTGAAAAGCCCAAAGATCTAATAATATAAATAAACTAGATGCGCTCTTGTCTTACCGTACTGTACAGGGTGGCCAACTAAGAATCCAAAGTTCGATACCTCTGTTGTGTTGAGAGATACAAAAAAAATGCATGGATCAAAATTGAAGTAATAACCAAGCTTCACATTTCAAAATTTCTTTGAAATACACAGGGTGTTCCGTAAGGTCACAGCACATCAAAGCTATGTTTTTTTCATTAGAAAACCCTATATTTCATTTCATTTTTGAATTCTCCCTGACGATCTGATTTCAACGACGTATCATACTTAGGGTCTAGCAGTGAAAGTTACTGACATATAGGGTGTGCAAAATCGAGATTTTCCAAGTTCAGGATTTTTTTCTGTCGAAACTGTTCATTATTCGTCAAAACGGTTTACATGTCCCTATCTCAACTTTTCACTCACTATCAATTGGTGTTCAATTGACATTTAATTGAAACAAATTATAAATTAAAATTTTTTGACCACCTTGTATCAATTTCAATTGAACACCAATTGATAGTGAGTGAAAAGTTGAGATAGGGACATGTAAACCGTTTTGACGAATAATGAACAGTTTCGACAGAAAAAAATCCTGAACTTGGAAAATCTCGATTTTGCACACTCTATATGTCAGTAACTTTCACTGCTAGACCCTAAGTATGATACGTCGTTGGAATCAGATCTTCAGGGAGAATTCAAAAATGAAATAAAATATAGGGTGTTCCGATGAAAAAAACATAGCTTTGATGTGCTGTGACCTTACGGAACACCCTGTGTATTTCAAAGAAATTTTGAAATGTGAAGCTCGGTTATTACTTCAATTTTGATTCATGAATTTTTTTTTTTGATCTCTCAAGACAACAGAGAAATCGAACTCTGGAGTCTTAGTTGGCCACCCTGTACAAAGAATTGAAAGTAACAACTTCATTGGTTGGTTCTTTCCATCTTCGTTTAGGCGTGATTAGGGTTCCATTCAAAATTTCAACGTGTTAAATCAATATTGAAACATTTTCAGTTCTCAGAATTAGTAAGGTTATATTAGGTTTTGATCTAACAATTTTCTTATATTAACGTGAAATTCCAATACCGAATGAGTTCATCAAGTCAGTAGCTTATTTTCTTGCGCCATGTTGGTCCCTCTAACTCTTATATTGTTTTTAATTCCTATCTTTCTAGGCGCAATATAGTAGGTTATAATATTAGATCTTTGTAAATCATTTTTTGTCAAAATGTCCGTCATTATTGCTCTCTCAATGATATGGAAGAAATACAATCAACCAAGTCTAATATAATATGACTTAACAAACTTACTTCTGAAATGGGCAACAGTATGATAGTACCAGGGGTGCCGCAGGCACATGACAGGTCAGAGACTGTCTTGGGATACCATGCATGAAACTTGAATTGAAACAGATATCCATTTAAGCTGTAGATCAATCGGCTTGATCTTTCCTATTATATTTGGCCACTGATTCTGTGATGATTCAATGAGGATGAGGATTTCAATGACCCTACTCAGTTCAATAATAGTTTTTTTATCGGTTGGTGCGCACGAAAGAGAATCCCTATAATGTTCGAGGAACATCCTGCGTACCTAGGGAGGAAAGGGAGTTAGGTGTATCAAGGGCATAAAATAGGCATTTATGGACCCCAGCGTGTTGGTAATAGAGAGAGCGAAGCGCTTGTAGTATATTCCAGATAATAATAGAGTGGATGACATGGATGGCTGAGGCAGCTTTACACTAGTAAAACCTGCCAAATATAAAAATTTGAAAATGATTCCAGGGTACACCGTCCCTGGAGGTAAAATATTGAAACACAACCTCACTTTTCCGTAAAAGCATTAGCCACTTGGTCTACTAGCCACAAACGACAAGATATTATAACCTCAATTTCGATCAATGGGACCCTGGAGGTGAAACGTTGAAACACAACCTCACTTTTCATATTTGTTTACAAGTGATTGAAATTGTTTTTCACAATACTTTGGGGCATATGAATCGTGTTTTTTGCGCTATACATTACTTCAAGCATGCCTTCTCATTGTGCTGTTGTACTATGCACAAAAAAATGCAACGAGAGACGAAGGAATATGATTTTTCAGGTAAATAGTAATCTCACATAGTTTTCATTATGAAATTTTGTCATTGATTAAAAATTCGTTCTGTCACTTCTGCAATAGATTGAAATGTTGTACACGATCATATTTCGTCAGCATGTCAGACCAGTCCTCCCGTTTGATTGTATAAATCCAATCTTCTTGCATTATTTTAGAAATTTCACGAGTAATTCTAATAGCTCCTATTGCAAAAGGAATTCCGATGAGAAATCAGAGAAATCACCAAATTTCGAAAATGAAAACTATATGTGAGTGCCTTTAGTAGGTACTTACTGAGGAAGTACCTATTTATAACAACATATAATCTCCAGAAGTTCAAAAAAAAATCCAATACCTACCTCCTATCCCTATACTCCCTAGGAACGCACGATGTTCTTTGAACATTATAGGGATTCCCTTTCGTGCGATCCAAGCGATAAAAAAAAATCATAATGTACCAACCAGATTCCTTCGTCTCCCGCTGCATTTTTTGTGCATTGTACAACAGCACAATGTGATGGCACGTGCGAATTAAAGATTAGCCAAAAAACACGATTCGTATGCCAAAATAATTGTGAAAAACTATTTCAATCACAATTTTATTAGATGTTTATCGTACAAAGTTATAGATCTGACTGAATGTTGGAATGAACAAATGTAACAAGATGATTTTGAGGAGTCAGCGAAATCTAAGAGGTCCCTGAGAACGTCGGTGCAGAATCTTCAGTTCTTAGGAAGCTTATGGGAACCGGTGATATAATCCTTCCCATAGACAAACCAAAAATAAAGAGACTGTTCAAAACATAGGACATTTTGACCATCAAGTTTGTGCGCAACCCAGTCGCGCATGGAGGCGCTGTTCGCAATCGACAAACGATTCATGACATGAAACATTTTGAATTTCGACATTCGACAGCACGACAGTATAAGGCCTGTTCGTATGTGTTTGCTCTACTGGTTAAACTTAATTTTTTTTTCTATGACTTTCTCTGTTTATATCATGCTATGAACAGAGACAACTATGGCAAAACATCAACTTTAGCAAGTTCCATTTTAGAACGAAGGAACAGACCAATGGAATACAACAGATATTGTTTATTTTCCGAGTTGATGTTGATACTGAAATTCGAGTTTCTCTTTCACATTTATTTTACTTTATTTCCGAGTTTATTTCTATTATTGACAAGGTGAAATTGATAATATTCATGTAGGTTGCACGTAGGTACATTTTTATAGAAACATAAGTGATATTCTTTCATTCTGAACTAACCGAAATATGAACGGAACTGAATTTAAACATACATTTTATCGAATTGAAGTAGGTATTCTTGAAGAACGCATGTTAACTGATTTCAGTTTTATGTTTGTTTTATGTAATATTTCAGTATTTCAGATTAAAAGAATATCACAGATGTAAAAGTGTGGTGAGATGCCAAGACCCCGTGCATATAAATTCAAGTGTGCAAGCAAGTGTTGAATAAGTTGATACCTAAAAATGCCAACAAAAATTGTGAAGAAGATGTGACTACCAAATTGGATAATCTCAACTCATTTTTTACTTGCCCAGTGGAGCCAGAGCCATCATCAGTTCTTGTCAATGAGTTGAATGAATTGGTTATTCCAAATTTCGATATTGTGTTTTCTAACTCAGAATTTGACACCCAGGCAACATATTATGTAGCAGGACTATTTTTTTTTTCAGAGTTAGTTATTCATTTATTCATAATTTTCATCATTTTTGTTTGTTTCCTTTTTGTATGATGTCTAGTCATTATTAGGCTGAAGAGTTTATATCTTATTTTGTTTTTTTTTTCAGAGTTTTATTTACTATTGTTTCATGATATGTAGTTCTCTAGTCTTGGATGGAATAAAATATATTTTTTTAAGTTTTTTAATTTTTTTTTGTAATTTTCTCGATTAATACAAATTTTGAAAGTAAAGGTTTTAAATAAACCGCCTTACCTCAATCGGTAACTAGAGAATCTGTTTTATCGATCATAGTAACTAGTTCCACCCAGTTGCCAAGTGTGTCGCTCTAAACGTGGTGCCAACTTTTACTGCAGGTTTGACAACTCTCTTTTTATTCGTTTCTCTATGATCCTTCCCCTCGAAGTTTCAACGTATGCAGTGGAGCGAGGAAGTTGAACCTCTGCCAAATTTACCGCTCGCCAACAATATAGTTTAATGGAGTCTAGACCAATGAAAAGCGAGGTCAAGTATACCCTACCTCACCACACGCTTTATTCTTAACTGGAATATACTATAGGTCCATAAACATTAGTTATGCACAACCATTTCAGACATATATTTACATTATCTGTGGGATTTGTTGGTGAATTTGAATTTACTCAAATAGTATTGTTCCAAAAAATTGCTGGAAAACAGTGGAACTACTTTACTGTCCATTCACCTAACACCCGCCGGACCACTTTATCGTCTAGGGCGAAGCTGAAGTGTTACTTTACTCCCGGTTGTGCATAAGAAACGTATCATGTCAAGGTTGTCATAGGGCCATAATTTCGTAGTCTCAATGAAATATTACCGCTAAATTATCGGATTGAAATCAGTTTGAACTTGCGTGAAAATTATCGAGTAAGATAAGACAAAGGAATCATAATTTAGTGTTATTAAAATCCTCAATTTTGTTTTTTATTCTTCAAGATTGAAATAAACATGACGCAGTTATAACTGGACTTAAAGTTATTCATCAATAATTAGTGTTCTTTTTGTCAGATAATCCGTATATAGGAAAACTCTCAATGCAATATAATGATTGAAATTTGTCATGAATTATGATGGGCTTTGAACTACTTGGGCCATCTATCGGCTAGCATCAGGAATTCGGACTATTAAGACATTCCATCCATAAAAATCTAATATAAGCAATAATAATTATGACCGATAAATATAATGCTTAACATAGATTGAATACACAAGAACTAGACCGCTCTCATGTAATCATTGACAACCCTTCTTGATGACCATCTATGGTGGCGAATTTCAAGATTGTATCAGTGACAAACGCCAACATTTAAACAATGAAAACAAACTCAAACAACTAGTAATTGAACCTGCCATTTCAACATTTGACTTTTTTGTCAAATATTAATTAACAAAAAAGTTAAATGTGGCTTGGATGTAGGTAGAATGAATAAAGTATGAATGAACTTGCTGCTCCACAAACGAAATACGAAAAGGAAAACGTTTTCACCTTTGAAATAGAAAAGTTCACCTGGCTTTCAGAAAGAAGAAAATATCTTCCCCTTCTGCCCACGTCTTCGATATTTCAACGTAAAATAATGAGAATTTTATGTTCGTAACCCAAGCAATGTGCAGAAGAATAGAAACAGGTCAGAATGGTCTTCTCCAATATTCTTCATTTGTTGTGTTACGAAAAGAGGTGTTACAAACATCAAAGTGTCATTATTTTGAGTTGGAACACTCTCAACGCTAGCTGAACTTCAATATTCGACGAAAAAGTTGAAGTTGTAGGAAGTCCTGTTCAAAAAACTGTAAAGAATTTGTAATTTATGTTATTATTTATTATCATTTGGATCAGCACATACTACCCATTCCTAAAAAGTGGCCGGTTCCCACTCAACAATGATTAAACACCACGTGACCATATTCGTATGCAATACATTTTTTACCCCCATAAACTTAGCAGAACCACTTCAATATTTCGTATTTGCAATAGTACTATAATTTGTTACTAATTTAGTACTAATTTATTATCATATTCGCGAATTTATTACTCTTCATTAAACAGGAAAAACCAACGGTTCTGCTAGCTTTATGTCAACCTAACAGAACCATAGCTGAAAATTTAATATTTTGAAAATTTTTAATATACCATAATTTATAACTATTTTATTACTAACTTTTAACTATAATCACGAATTTTTTACTCATCATTTCAATGAAAAAAACGAAGATTTGTCTATCTCGATCTCAACCTAGCAGAACCAAAACTCAAATCACATGTTTTTTGAAATTCTGTTGTATCATCGATAAGTTACTAATTTATTACTAATTTATTACCACATTCGCAAATTTCTAACACTTCATTCAACAGGGAAAACCAACGGCTCTGCTAGCTTGCTGTCAACCTAGCAGAGCCATAGTTAAACAATTATTATTTTGAAAACTTCAAATATACCATAATTTATTACTATTTTATTGCTAACTTACAACTATAATCACGAATTTTTTACTAATCATTTCATGGAAAAAAAAACACCGATTTGTTTTAACAGAACCAAAACTCAAATCACATATTTTTTGAAATTCTGTTGAATCGTCAATAAGTAATTAATTCATTACAAAATTACCACATTCGCAAATTTCTTTAGTAATAAAATAGTAATAAATTATGGTATATTTGAAGTTTTCAAAATAATAATTGTTTAGCTATGGCCGAGGCTACGGCTCTGCTAGGTTGACAGAAAGCTAGCAGAGCCGTTGGTTTTCCTTGTTAAATGAAGTGTTAAAAATTT